TATTTATATTCAAGTGATTTACCATTCCTTTTGTTTGTATACAATAAACCTAAGTTTTTATTTTGAAATCATACCTTGGCCTGAAGCTTCATTTGAGGGAATGGTTGGTGGCAGTGGAAACGAAGAGTGATTGAGTGTGACGTAACTGCCCCTTTGTGAGGTATAAGGTGGCTGTTACACTAACCTAGCAGTTAGAAAGCATGTAAATGTGAGTAGATAAATAGGTACCACTATGGTGTGAACATAATGGCATTCTGTGTCTAGTTGCGCTGGCCATGAGACCATGGAAACTGTCTATGGACAAATGCTGGCTCTACAGCATGGAGACAGGGATGAGCACCGTGCCCTAGAGTTGGACACGACTGGTCTAAATGTCAAGGGGAATGTTTACCTTTACTTAAAGTGTGAGAATAAGAGAATGATAATCTCCTAAAGAAATCAGGGATTACCAGAGATTTTCTTGGACTACAGTTCCTGGAATACCCTTGCCTGTGTGGTCAGTTACACTATATTGTGGTAACACAGTAGCATAGCCATATATTTTGAACAAGTACAGAAAAAGTATCCTACAAACTGTAGGTGCTCACGAAATGAAAAGGCTAATGATGAAAGTGATCACAGAACAAAGAAGGCAATTAGCTTTAGAGAGAGAGAACCAAAAAGTCGACACACAGATGTCTGCCAGTGGAGCCCCAGGGTGATATCCTGAGACCTCCCTTTATTAACTAGCAAGCTTACACAGATTGTTGAAAGGATTCAGATAGGACACTGGTTACCTAATCACTACTAGGATTGGCCGGAGAGAGTTATGCTCTAACTCGAAGGGAAAAAGCAGAATGAGTGAGTCACCCGGCCTGCCAGGTGCCACTGTCCTGCCAGGAGAGTTTCCTCTTCACTGACAACATATAACAGCTAGCAACCTTGAGCAGAGTGTTCCTACAACAAACAAAATCAAAAGATAAGGGGTGCCCCAAACAAAAAATTATAATTGTGAAACTGGACCACAGATCAACACTAAATTTGACACATGCAGCCCAGATTATAATTGTGAAACTGGACCACAGATCAGCACTAAATTTGACACATGCAGCACAGTGTCTGCTCTTGCCAAATTTGGGGATGTTTGGGCAAAGGGTTTTTGAGTTGTAATTGTTTAAAAAGTAACACTCTTTTACCCCTATAAAGACACAAGCAACCATAAATCTGCAGCTGATAGAAAAGAGATAAAATATGTGGATACAACAAAATTTGCATACTTGGAAAAAATCCCTGTGTAGCCAAATATTTTGTGCAGCCACAGCAAAAAACCCAGTTGTGCCCACAGGTTACACCATAGGAATCATGGGTCCCCCAGCACATGATTTTGCAGTGGTGCAAAAACATGAGTCTGATGCATGGTTCCTCATGGATCCACATCATTTTTATAGAGGATCATCCCCAAACCACTATCTAATCATAGACCCTATCTCTGCTCACACACTAAAACACAGAATTAGTGGATTCTTCAGTGCATGGCTTTGCAGTCACATAAAAACATGCATCTGAAGTATGAATCCTCATGTATCCACATGATTTTTACATAGGATCATCTCCAAACCACTATCGAATCATAGGGTCCATCTGTATCCATAGATTACAACACAGAAATCATGGGTCCCTGAGCACATGGTTTTGCAGCGGTGCCAAAACACCCATTCAAGGCACGGACTGTAACAGTAACAATCTTAGAACTGCAGAGCTAGAAGGGACTCTATGAATCATCATAGTCCCATCCTTGACAAGGAGCCATAGTAGGGAACTGAACTCCCAACCTCTGTCCCCCCCCCTCCAATTTCACCATAAAATCTACAAGGGATGAAATACGCCATTTAAATGTAATTTTGTCATCAGATCTCATTTAACCCAGAGTTA